GCATGCCTGAGGCCCTGGGTTCGATTCTTCAGCACCACATAAGCACAAAGGAAAAAAGCCAGAAGTGGCGCTGTGGCTCAAGTGGTAGAGCTCAGCCTTGAGCTGAAGAGCTGAGGGACAGCACCCTGGCCCAGAGTTCAGGCCCCACGACTGGACCCCAAAAAAAAAAAATCATAGTTCAAAGCCAGCCCAGGGAAATAAATCTGAGAGACTCTAGAAAAAATCAGAACTGGAGCCGTGGATCAAGTGGTAAAATGCCAGCCATGAACAAATAAGATCTGCAAGAGTGATAATCTCTGGACTTCAAGCCCCAGAATTGGCACATACAAGAAAAATATATCTATACTTCACCAGATATGGTGATCCTGGCCATACTAGGTCATACTATAATATATCTACTCAGGAAGCTAAAACTGGGAGAATCATAGATTGAGGCCAAGCCCAGGTAAAAAAGCATGAGGCACCATGTCAACCAATTAAAAGTTCTATATGGGGCTGGGAAGGTGGCTCAGTGGAAGAGTGCATGCTTGAGGCCCTGATTCCTCAGCATCACAGAAGCAGAAAAAGCCGGAAGTGGCACTATGGCTCAAGTGGTAGAGTGCTAGCCTTGAGCTGAAGAGCTGAGGGACAACGACCAGGCCCCAGAGTTCAGGCCCCGCGACTGAAAAAAAAAATAAAGTTCTATATGTTGGCTTGTGTCTGTCATCCCAGACACACAAATTGGAGGACTTAGGTCCAGGCCTACACAAAATTTAAAAAAAAAAAAAAAACTAAAGCAAAAAAGGCCTGAGCATGACTCATGTGACAGGGTGCCAAACTAGCAAGTTTAAGGACCTGAGTTAAAACCCAAATACTGCCAAAGAATAAATAAAAGGGGGTGGGGGGGAGATGGTATACAGATCCTAACCAGAAAATATAGCCATGAAACAACGTAGTTCAAAATGTTTCAGTCACCTATATGAACGCTGGCGTCTTTCTTTACCTATTGCTAATGAAGTTGCCAAGCAACAGGAAAATGTCCAAAGTTGATTTTCTTCATCCGTAGTAAAAGAAACCAATTTTCACTCATTTAACATTCTGAAAAAGTTCTAACAGATCCCGTCAAAAGATTGGCTTGGCATGTTGAAGTATGTGAGAAACTACCCTCCTCCAAAAAACTCAAAACCAGAAACTGTTCCAGGAAAAAAAATTGGCCTTCACCAGGACACAAAACCTGCAGAAACCCTTGGGGCTCCCATGGAGCACTGCTTAGAGGCTTCAGGGGTCTACCAATGTCCCTGGCACTGAGGGAAGTCTCCAGCTCTAAGGAAACCACAATGCTTTCTCAGCATGAATAACGTGACAACATTCTCTGCATGTCCAAAGCTTTAAAACAAGTCACTTGGGTTCCAGAGCAAAAAACAACAATAAAATAAAGTAATAGTTATCAGATACTTTTCCTCTTTTATTAAATATATCTTTGACAAAATATTATGGAACTTTTAGGCAGTATCACAGCCACAAAAAAAAATAGAAATTGGACCTCTCATATCAGTCCCGGGACATCTGGCTCCAATCTTTCCAAGTGGTAAGCTAAAGAAACAGATGTGGCAACAGTACGAAAAGCCTCTCAATAATGCCACAAAGGAACAAAGAAGGAGCCAAGAACTGGTGGCTGACGCCTGTAGTCCTAGCTGCTCAGGAGGCTGAGATCTGAGAATCCTGGTTGAAAATAAATCCGAGCAGAAAAGTCTGTGATGCTCTTATCTCCAATTAACCAACAGGAAGCCAATAGTAGAACTATGGCTCACATAGTACAGTGCCAGCCTGGAGCAAAAAGCCAAGCAAGATTGCGAGCCCTGAGTTCAAGCTCTGGTACCAAAAAAAAGGGCAAACTTCTAATGTGTGGCCAATAAGGACAAAACAAAACCTTGGGACCATTCCAGACAGGAGAAGTATAAGCTGACTGACAAGTGGCACACCCCGGCAAACTATCTTCAAATAGTCCCCTTATTTCATAGTGAAGTAAAGATTGTATCCATCAAAGTGTTTCTAAGATTGTCATCTTTTGATGAATAACTAGGAAATTACTGCTAGCCCCAGCTGGACAGGCTTCAATCAAATATGTTTAGAGATAATAGGGTTCTTCTAGAACCCAGAGCAAAATGAAGCTCTGAATATTTATGAAGTGGCCAGTATGTTTTGTTGTTTTCTTGTTTATAACAGGATCTCTATATGGACCCTAGGCTAGCCTCAAACTCACAATCGTCCTGCCTATACCTCCCAAATCCTGGGTTTATAGGTATGCACCACACATCAAAAAAAATTTTTTAGATTCTTTAAAATACTTAGTAGGACAGTCCTCATGAACTAATGTTCAGTCCTCATGAACTAAGGTCAGAGGATAGATTAACAAAAACACTCACTAGAATGTATAGAAAATTATAATACAGGCTGAAATCACTTTAACAAACTCTTTAATCAGGTTGGTTAAGACAAAGAGTAGGAATATGGAAATGAATAGTGAAAGAATAACTGGACTTCACGAGGGGAGCATTCTTCAGATCCCAAAGTGAACCAAAGTGAATGAAAGTAAAATGATTAGCACAAACATGCTACTTTAGTTGTCAGATTAAATGTCAGTGAGTCTGGGTGCCCTTGGCTCATACCTAATCCTAGATACTCAAGCTAAGATTTTGAGGACAGTGTGGTTCCAAGCCAACCTGAACAGATAAACACTTGGGACTCCATCTCCAATTAAACAGTAAAAATTCAGACTGGATATGTGTCTCACGTGGTAGAGCACCAGTATCAGCAAAAAAAAAAAAAAATTACATTGAGAACTCAATGTAAAGTATCAAAAGAATAACTGTAGTTTCTTTTTAATACATTAATGCCCAGTGGCTATGATTATGATTTAGAGAAAGGATAGTTTTAATAGAAATATGCATAATTTGGTATCCCACAATATACTACACATAAATAAACATAAACTATAAATAAATAAAACACAAATAAACTATAAGTACCAGAGAATGAACAGATTAATGAGGCTTATATGATAATGCACAAACACCAAGATAGAATTATTTCAATTGGGAAACAATCCTGGGTGGAGGGAGTCTGTATGCACATATGCACACATGCACCAGTATTAGTGTCTGAACTCAGGACCTGGGCACTGTCCCTCAGCTTTTTCCCTCAATGCTAGTACCCTACCATTTGAGTAACAACTTTACTTCTGTTTTTTGATGGTTAATTTTGGAGATAAGAGTCTCATGGATTTTCCTTATTGGCTTCGAACTCTGATCTTCAGATCTCAGCCTCCTGAGTGTCTAGGATTACAGGCTTGAGTCACTGGCACCCAGCTCAAGTGAAACAAACTTAAGAATGAAGTACTCAATATTTGGGAATTAAAATGATTTTGAAAACAGCTAATGCATCTCTAAGAATGCATCCAAATGTCTGCTATCATTATTAAGGTAGAAATTGTATGTTTATCTTGCACTGCTTTTGGTCAAAACTGGTATTTTGTTTGTATGGTTAGCTGGTTGTTTGAATCAATTTTGAATTGCTTTATTCATTCCAAATTACTCAAGAGACCAGGCAGATGCATAAATTGCATTTATACAATCAAAAAGTAGATGTCACTATCAAAATGTTAATGGACTATTTATGGAGGCAATGGCCCCAAAAGTGGGATCCCTAAAATACTCTGAGCAACTGGAAATATTTAACTCACAAAGTAACTTCTTTGAAGAAATCAACCATTTGAGCCACATGCTCTTGTAAATCTAAAAAGAACTCCATGTCTCACAGTATTCCTGGCCCTTCTTCAAATGCCTGTTCTGGCATATAGGAGATGAAAACACATGAAATTGACATTGATGTGGGTCACAAATGGCTGGATACCAGCAAAGTCATACGGAACAAATTTACAGTACTATAAAACAAAGGAGATGGAGCAGTTTCCAACATATAGTGGATTTACATGCTAACAATAACTTGTACGTTTACAAAATTTTATACTTTATAAACACCGCAAAATACGTATTATTAAGCTCAGCATCTCAGTGAATTGGGCAATCAGATACTTCTTCTTTGCAGAAGAAAATAAGTCTTAACATCAAGTCACTTGCTCAAATGTAAACATGTTAGGTGCCCAAACATCAAAAAGTAAGGGAGCAAAGGATCTAAGCCTTTGACTCTGAAACTTTACCGCAAACAACGTCCTTGAAAAGGAGAATCAAAGTAGCCTAAGTAGCCAGTGCTCACTTGTACACAGATTCCATAAATATCTATGTGATAAGTATCTAGATTGGAATTTTTAAGTGCTTTCAAAAATGTGGGTGGGTACTCAAGTACATTCTTGTAATTTCTTTTCTGACTTCCCCAACCTATGCCTTCCTCCATGATTTCTGCCTTTTGCCTTAGAAGCCTACCTGATTCTTACCTTAAGGGCCACATACCTGGCCATTTGGGTACCAAACCGTGTCAGTCTTTTAGTCTATTTTACTCATAGTAAATGGTTCTCTATAATACCTATTAGTTGAATGAGTAGTCCACAACTAAAACTCATTTGGGTAATGACTACACTTAAAACTTGAAAGAAAAACTTGCAGGTGAAAAAGAGAAAAGAAGATGCTTAATGTTGACTTCAAAACCAGGTAATTCTATGCATATGCATTGGACTCTCCAATGTAGGTTATAGATTGTGAAACACAGGCCTTGCTTCTCAACCATCCATTCCCACTGGCAAATTAAGCAATAATGGAAACTTTCTTGCTTACTAATTAAAAATAATATATATTCCACCAACGCTATCTTTAGATACTGCGACTGATAGCCTCTTCCTACTGTATCATACTGTGGGAGTGTCGATTTTCAGGGATCAAATCTCACTTGCAACCAAGGACACATATCTGTGACTATGGAGTCCATGAGGACAGGGATGACACATCCTATAAAATCCACACATGTCTTTGTTTATAAAGTATTTTGTAAATGCTTTAAATACTTACTCACACAACAGGACACCATTTTCTAGGGAAGCTCGAAAATCCTTTGTTTGAAAATTCTTCTCTGTTACTGCCTGAAAGACAGATTTGAATGTTAATTGGTTTCTTCACCAGGGATAGCTAAAGTCAAATTCAGTATCTGATTAATTAATATGCATTGAATGTTTTGCTTAATATGTATACATTACCAAAAGCTATATCAAAACCTTTAGTATAATAAACATAAACTGCAAAAAATGAGTGCCCTCTGTAATGTAATTATTTTTTTAATATTTTTATTATAAAGATATGTACAGAGGGGTTACAGTTACATGAGTAATGAATACATTTCCTATTGAGCATTTTACCCCTTCCTTTGTTTTTCCCCTACCATCCCTTCCCTCCCCACCTCCTGAACTCCTCCCCTACCCAAAGTTGTAAAGTCCATTTTCAACATAGTGTCTTGTACATTTCATTGTTACAGTGGGTCAACCTGTATCCTTATTTAAGCATTTTGTTATTTCCCTTCCTCTCACCAAATTAGAAAAATGTATATACAAGGTGTATGGCACCTGAATCAAATACAGTGAAAACAGGGGTTATACCATGGAGAAAAAAACATACATAAGAAACAACAACAAAAAAAATCAGTCCATTATAAGTACATTAAAACAGCAACAACGATAAAACCTCTTGTGTCCCTATATTGGAGTTCATTTCTGTAATGCAATTATTTTATTTGATGATCAACAAAGGTTGGAAATGAAACTGAAGTTCCAGCATGTTTTTATATTGTAAAGAAAACCATAAGGTATATTAAATAGGTAGGTTTCATTAGGTAGCCAATGAAGTGAACACCATGTGCTATTCAGGGAGGAAAAGAAGTTTATTTACCCAACTGCTGCCCCCCACCATGCATGGTGGAGAGGCAAGGCTGAAAAGGGGCGATCCACCCCTGGGCCAGGACTTATCTAGGCCAGGAACAGGAAGAGGTGGGGCCAGGTGGGGGAAAGGTGTGACCACACTGGATCTAGACATGACCTCAGGGTCTGGGACCCTCCTAAAGTCAGATGGGAGGCGTGTGACCAGAGGTGGCCCAGGATGTAACCTAGCCAGAGGGGGAAGATGACTGCTTCCAGTTGTGCCAGTTACCTAGGTAACAGATACTGGGCAGAAACTTAGCCAAGAGGTAGGGAGGTGTCCCTGTGCAGACCAGGCAAAAACTACTAAGAATGAATGAAAACAGTTTGGGATATAAACCTGAAATATCACCTGGATATCCATATCCTTAACTTCAATTCCATCTTCAGTTCTGAAAGTGTCATTACAAAAGTGAGGTAGCTTATTCATGAAGTGGCTCTACTATATAGGCCTAGGAGCTACTTGTAGAAACATTATGAGGAAAAGTCTTTCAAATCCTTGCACAGAAACCACAGAGAGATAAGGTAATTTTGTGTGTGTGTTGATACTAGGCTTTGAACTCAGGGCTTGGGCACTCTTGCTTCGCTTTTACTCTCGAGACTAGTGCTCTACCAATTGAGCCACACAACTCCACTTCCAGCTTTTTACTGGTTAAATGGAGACATAAAAAAGTGTAATGGATGTGTGGAGGCATTGATTCATGTGACCCCATCTGAGTTCCTGTGAGCCTTGAGGGTGCATTCTGGCATGCATTCCCTCTGGGGGAGGAAGGAAGACGCCCCTTCCTCCAAGCAGGCCAAGGGTCCTGCCCCCACTGGGGGCCAGACTTGGTGGACGGTTTGTGGGAAGTGCCATTCTTGCTCCTCCTAGTTAATCAGGTAGAACAATTCCTCAAGATTCCTTTTGTGTTTTTTTTAATGAAGCCCCACCTGTACCTTGCTTCCTCTTTTATTATCTCGAACTCTTCTCACTCACTGTCTAAAGGTTACTAATTGTCCACATTCCCCCAAAATTGTTTAAGGTAACCTTTCTGTCCCATGATTGTCCTGTACTACAGACTTACCTTCTATGCCCCTATGCTATATATAAGTGTATGATGTTTTAATAAACTTTGTCTATACCCGCATGGTATGGTCCCTTTCTGCCTATCAAACACTGCATTCCCGAGTCTCACTGTGTGAACAGCAACATGGATGCTCATGCTTTGAAGCATAATCCTTAGATCTCAGCCTCCTGAGTAGCGGGTTACAATGCATGAGCCATGGATGCCCAGCTTGAAAAAAATATTGTAAACAATTCTCAGACTAAGGCAATTAAATAGACCAAGTCACCTCCAGTAATACCAGCAATGGTCTTGGGGAAAAAAATAACCAGAGTTGGTCTCTCCAGCATGGAATGGCAGGAAAGGAAGGGGATTCCATATGTAGGAGCTGCAGCAGAGAAAGGGAAAGCCACAGTGGGCAAAGCTGCGCCAAAAACAACTTCTGGGCCTAGGTCACCAGCTCCAGAGAACAGGAAACCAACAGCAACAACACCAGCTTGCCTAGCCATGCATCCGTCTCTTGCTCCACCTGACCCTTCCAGAGTAATACCTTCTAAAAACCTGAACTGCAAAGTCACTGATCTGATCTGAAATCACAAGGCAGAGACAGAGTGGCATGGCTGCTGTTGGCTACATGGTATACTTAAAGCTCAGAGCTCCTTGTCCTATCTTTCTACAATGAGCAACACTACTAGTACTAGATCCAGAATCTACTAACTGGCAAAACAATGACCTTAGAATTCAAAGTTAGCAAGGTTAGGGTGCTGCAGACTTCCAGGCCCAGCATTCAAGAGGCTGAAGCAGGAGGATCACTTGAGCTGAGAGGTGCTATGTCAATCTAGGCAACATCCCAAGACCCTCTCTCCAAAATAAATAAGTAAGCAGCCCTAGAATTAGTTAGATATGAAGAGAAAGGAAGAGATGGCCAAAGTTAATTTTTCATAAGTTGATTCTCAAAGTAATGGACAAGAACCTGGGCCAGGAGATGACACATCCAAGTCCAGGAAGAAGACGATCCTTTCTTATGTGCAGCATTAAACCCAGGAGCACTGCACAGTGGCAGGAAATAAGCATCAGCAAAGGGTCTCTATTATAACCACAACCCAGATGCTAGGTGAAGAATAAAATAAAGTTGAAAAATGAAATAAAATTATAAACTAAAATTCAGTTTCAATCAAGTTTCAATCAAGAAACTTACAGCCCCAGAGGTAGAACACTGTGTAAAGACGCAGTAAAAGATAGCTAGGTTGAATGGTAGGTTCCTTGAGGAATATCCTGAAGTGGCTTGCCCATAGACCATCCCCAGGTATCCCATTCAACCCGAGCGCTAGAATTTACCTCACTCCCAAATATTTGCCTTGCAAGATGTCCTCTACTTCAAGGAAGACATCGAATCACCAGATTATAAAACTCAACAAAATTAGTTCTACCTCCTGAAAGCACCACAAAAATTACTGAGCACCTCAAAGCATAGTAAAAGAATTGTTTGTTGTTGTTTTTAATTAAAAACTACTTTAAAATATGACCCCCATGGGGTCATATGAAGAAGTGCATCTTCTGAAGTAATTCATCTGGAACTTCCAATCTAACTATTTTTTTTCATGTTTCAATAATGTTGGCCCTTACTCATTAGTAAGCTATTTAAGGTGTGATACCTTTTATGTAATAGGGTTGTGAGTCATAAAAATTAAATAAATAGCGAGCACATGCTTTCCACTGAAGTTATCAAAAGTAAACACACACAGGAGAGATCACTATGTGGTCACACAACCACACCTTGCATTCTACACAATTGTGTCTCTCTTGCTTGCCCCTTTGTATATTTTTCTAATGTGCTTAAATAAAATCAGTGGCACCCAAAGTCATCTGAGAAACTGTGCATTAAACAAGAAGACCTGGAACTTAACCATGGATCCATCTCTCACAATGTACCTATGATTAGGTTATCAGTCCCTTAAATTCTTATTTCATTTTCATGGCATTAGTACTGGGATTTGAATTCAGGGCCTTGATGCTGTTCCTTAGCTTTTTCAACCAAGGCCAGCCTTTTAACCACTTAAACATCTCCTCTTTTGGCTTTCTGGAGGTCAATTGGTGATAAGAATCTCACAGACTTTCCTGCCTGGGATGGCTTTGAACCTCGATCCTCAGATCTCAGCATTCTGAGTAGCTGGGATTACAGGTAGGAGCCACTGGCAGTCCCTCGACTTTTAAAAGGGAGTAAAGATTTACTCTACTTCACAGTACAAAAATAATCTATGAAAATATGTTGACTCCTAAAAAAAAAAAAAAAAGCTACAAAGACTAGTCTAAGCTCGTGTTATGTTTCTTCCACCCATGTGTTCCCATGAACAGAACAGACATCCTTTTGGAAAAAAGCCATCAAGTGACAGGGCCTAGCTTATTGCTCTTGGGTGTCATGCTTGCTGGAAAGTCATAATTAGTCTAATGGAGCAGGCAAAGGGCGGAGCCGGCGCCAGGGTACTTTCTTCACAAACCCTCTGCCAAACCTGTCTGACCACCTAGAGCCTGGAGAAGCCCTCCACTGGAAGTTTTTAAGGGGAGACAATAACAGCTATCTACACATCGAGTGCCAAGCTCACCATCACATCACATCTTTCACTATGAAATGTAAGGATTTAGTGAATAAACGAGAATTACATTCACACCCCTCATTGTTTGGCTGATGGTTTTATTTTAATCCTCTCACTGGATAAAATTTCCCAGGGATGTAAGCAACAAGTTTCCCCACGTTCCATCCCTCCATTCCAATTCTGATCAGGTACATGACTCAAATGCCAAACATTCTGGAAGCTTCTCCACCAAATGATATCAAACTCTAGTTATCAGCAAACCACCCACAAATGCAAGTCAGAAGGTACTGTCACCTTAAAACTTTTCAACTTCTTTTTTAAAGCAACCATTTATAAGGTGTCTAGAATTCCAAAAGGCATTTAATCATCTTTTTGTTGTTGTTGTTGGTTGTGGGGGCTGAACTCTGGGCCTGGGCACTGTCTCTTAGCTCTTCAATATCAAGGCTAGCATCCTACCACTGAACCACAGTACCACTCCTGACTTTTTTCTGCTTATGTAGTGCTGAGCAATCGAACCCAGGGCCTCATGCATGCGAGG